CCGCGGATGTTGGTTTGATGGCTGATGAAGACACTGCTACCCTGGAGACGGCGGGGTCGTGTTTTCGACCGGGTTTGCCGGAATTATTGGATGACCTGGTCTTCGAGGGGTTATTCACTCAGGATATCCTCGATTTTAATCCTGGGAATCACCTGAAAATCTGCTGGATAACGCTAGCAGAAACCCGAGGGGTTATTCGCACAGGAAATCAGGGATTTTAATCCTGAAAATTACAGGGACATCAGCTGGGAATCCTTCTCGCAATGTTTAGGCCGAGCGTCACTCCTTACAGAATCTCATTGTTTGTCATATGAAATCAAATCGGTTTCACCGATTCTCACCTGGCTTGATGTCGGGTCTTGGAAATGCAACTTTTGGCTTATGGCGAGGCTTAGAAAGGATTTTTACTCTTGTTATCCTTGTATGAATTTTTTTTTTCTTATTCCGTAATCAGGCTACCAGAAAGGTGTAGCTGAAAAGTGGAGGCGCGACCTACGTTCTAATTGAGTACTTCGTTAAGGCATAGGGTTACTATGTGGTGGCTATTGCGATGCATCTGGAGGGAACCTCGTTTGTTGATGGTCCCTTGGTTGTTCGTTTTGCGGTTAAGCCACTGTTGTACAGCGCTAAATTATGACAATTAATGTAGAACCGTGTTCCGGTGCGAGGTGGTCTTCGGGGAGCCTCCAAGAGAAAGAAGTCGTGAGTTAGGGACCAAGTGACTTTACTGGATTCAGGCTCGGGTATTTTTAGGTCCACCAGGGCCAACTCGTTCCCGACTTCCACGAGGAGCCTGTCAAAGGAGTTACGCGACGACGTTCCTCGGGTAATTGGACGGACGAGACAGAGTGGATGAAGAGGAGCGAGATGACACTTCAGGGATGTTGCTTCGGTCGAAGACGACCCGAGTTAATTGCTCTGGTTGTTGTTCTTCGGTGAGTTTTGTAACCGAGGAGGACGCCTGAGAGGACCACTTGTACTTTTGCTGCGATAACTTTTTCAGGAAAGGGTTGAAATGAGAAACGTCAAGACCAACAGAAGAGAACGCTCATCGTGGTACCCTGTTGGGTTTTGGTACCAACCATTGTACCGCGTTTAATGTCTAGTTATTAAGTAAACAAAGATATAAAAACCACACGAAGAGGACGGAGTCATGGCATCGTATGCCAGACTTGATGACCCCACACCTGGGGGACATTCCAAAGAAGTGCGTTTTTCTCTTGAAAAATGAAATAGAAGAGTTAGACTGCAGGTCTCTGCACTTCCTAGGCGAGAATCCGCATTCCCTCCTAATTGTCAGCTGTTTTTGACGTCTCGGTAGCTGGTAAGAGAGCCGAGCCGAGAATCGGGCGAGAAGCTCGGCGCATGTGCTGCCAACGACGTGCTTCCAGCCACGAAATTGATCCTGACACTCGTGCTTGACTCCGGATTACTCCGGACGTGCGATCGGATTGGCTGGATCCACGCGATGGCGACACAGACGCTCCCCGGGAAATTAGCCACAACGCCAATGGGCTGAGAAAGGATCTCTTTACCACATGTTTTTTTTTTTTTCCAGGTAGCCGAATACCCTAGGAAATTAATTTAGCGATCGGATTGGCTGGATCCACGCGATGGCGACACAGACGCTCCCCGGGAAATTAGCCACAACGCCAATGGGCTGAGAAAGGATCTCTTTACCACATGTTTTTTTTTTTTTCCAGGTAGCCGAATACCCTAGGGAATATATTCGCTAGGAAATTAATTCACGCCGGCACCGGACGCGCGATCGGATTGGCTGGATCCACGCGATGGCGACACAGACGCTCCCCGGGAAATTAGCCACAACGCCAATGGGCTGAGAAAGGATCTCTTTACCACATGTTTTTTTTTTTTTCCAGGTAGCCGAATACCCTAGGAAATTAATTTACGCCGGCACCGGACGCGCGATCGGATTGGCTGGATCCACGCGATGGCGACACCGACGCTCCCCGGGAGATTAACCGCATCGTCAGTAGGCTGAGGACGGATTTTTTTCCCCAGGTAATTTATTCCCTAGGAAATCAGTTTGGCCGGTGGAGGTGGGAGTCGGATAAAAAAAGCGAAAGACGGATGAAGACTCGTCTGCCAGGATTGCTTAATTTCCTCGGGACGTTGGCGTCCATTAGATTTTGTTGCCCTAGACGGTTATTAGGATTCTAATAATAAGCTCCTAAGTTTCTGGGGCTCGAACGTTCATTAGCGACGCTAATGAAGCGAGTCATTGAAGAAAAGTCGAATGTCAAGCCAGATGGTGTTCTCGCGAGATGCGAGATGCTGGATCCGCCCTCTGCGATGCGCGTCATTTGCGACAGCACGTCTTCAGGGCTTGCTGGGACACTTCTTCAGGAAAGACAGCAGACTGCTGGGCTCCAGACCTTTCGAGGAATCCCTCGTTCCCACGTGTAGAGAGGAGGGGGGAGGAAGGAGCCCAAAACTGGGGTGAAGATTCAGAACAACCATGATGGACTCGCAGGAAAAAAAAAAATTATCCATTAAACTTCATATTTTCTACACATTAGTTTACTAAAAAGTTTAGTCAGCGTCCCTGAATTTTTTAGTGCCATCCCACGTAGAAGAGGAAATTTTTCCATGCACCACAAAAAGGGATATTGCCTTTACCAATAAGTTTGCTAAAACATTTAAATTGTGACTTTTAGGAGGACTGAGATTTTTTATGCTATCTCGTGTAGGAGAGAACATTTTTTCCGTGCGGAAATTAGTGTTGCTGTCCTAACCTATAAGCTTACTAAAGAATTTAGTTAAAGCTGTTTAGGATTTAGTTTCTTGAGGTTTGAGAGGGTTTCATCCTTTTGTCTTATTTTCGCCGAGTAGCGTCTCGATAGCGTGATTATCGGTGAACATGGCGCGTAAAATTTGGCGATGCGTTGCCAAGGACGCTTTCAGCCACGAAATTGATCGATCGTGACACTGTACCTGACGCTGGGCGCGGATTACCCAGGATACGATACGGTTAACTTCCCGGGTGCGCCATTTATGGGGGGCGTTTATGGAAACCGTGTAAAGTGTCCATCAAGGAGACGCGGGACTCCTTTCCTTGAAGACCCTGACCGTTTTCACGGCTCTCTTATCGAGGAACGCTAACCATAGATTTTTCATGCTGGGAGAAATTTCGGATTCACATCCTAACCTGTACCCCCTGATCGAAACTGCTACCTACGCAAAATCTCTTCACGGCATTTTCGAGGCAAACAAAATGTCACTGTTTTTTTTTCCACACAATTACTAGAATTAATTTGGAAAACGTCTTTTCGACAAAATTCGACACAGCGAATATAGGAATTATGCGAGTCGAGCATGAAACATTCAGCGCTTTTTCTACCGTAGATGCATTCTTTTTCCAGGAATTTTCTATCCTCTTATCTAGGGCTATACAATTACTGGAATTCATTTAGAAAACGTCCTTTCGACAAAATTCAGTACAGTGATTATATCAATAATTCGAGTCGAACGTGAAACATTGAGCACTTTTTCGGCTATAGATTGTATTCTTTTTCCAGGAATTTGTATTCCCTTATCTGGGGTAACTCAATTACTGGAATCGGAGGTTTCTCGAAGGAAGCTCCGGATTGCGTTAGGAATCGGAAGGGACAGGAGTCGATGGTGGACCAGGGGTCTTTTTAGAACAGGATGATGGAGCCATTAATCTTCAGGGTTCGAGACCTCGTCGAGCTTGTAATGGCCTCGTTAGAATGATCGAGGGCCGCTCGACGGCTTCGACTTTAAAGGGAGAAATGGTTAATTGGTTGATTAGTTAATTTTACGCTCGACGATGGAAACTCCTGGTGGAGGAAAAAGTGTTTTGGATTTGCCACTCAACACCCTCACGTTAGTTTAGAACGGAGGTGGGCATTGCTAGAAAAATGTTCGACCTAACCAAAAAAAAAAAAAAGGAGTAATAATAATTTGGAAAGCGTTTTTATGGAATTTCGCGCGATAAACCGTTTCCAGGGGTCTCGTGTAATTGGTCCTGCACCCGCGGCAGGTTTCGGATAAAATTTAGCGACAGGCCGGCTAACAAACGCGCGTCGTTTGGCCCATTTGGCGTCGTTTAACGGCCGATCATTGTGGCGACGCCATTGACGCCATTGGCGCGCTATCGGAAGTAATCCGCGTCCGGCGTCACCATCGATTTCCTCGATAGCGAACACAGGTCGACGGCGCTGTGCTCCGAACTGTCGGGCCATGATCTGCCGACGAAACCTAGCGCTTGTAAAATCCACTTTTATCTCTGGGATCCTAGAGTTTAAAGAAACCCGTTGTAACCTCAAAGCACAACGGAGAGTGTTTAAGCAATCCCTCGGCGTTATTTTTTGGATTTGACGCGAGGCTACGAACAATGGGGCGAAGAAATGGTACCATCCAGGTAACGAGCCGCCATCTTTGTTTGCAGGTCGCAGCCGGGCAGTCTGGCGATCCAAAAGGCCTAATCGTCATCCTTTCTCGTCCCGGGCGGGTCGTGTGCCAAGAGTGAGAGGGTCGAGGAGGGAGAGTGAGATGCAGTAGCGGGAGTAGGGTGTGCCACACGTGTCGCTAACGCATTCCCCGACAAATTGACTTCAGGCCTCGCCGGCATCCGTCCTCCTCTCCTTAGGCAGCGCGTCCCTGCTCCTCGCCGGGCAAACGATCCTCTCGTCGCGCGCGCCTCTCTCCGCCTTTATTATTAGCCGCGACCAGCTAGTTAACCGAGTTAGTTAAGTGAGAATTATTATTTAGCTCGCTTCCTCTCGGAGCCCTCCACGAGCGTCCCCTTCCTCCGGGACCAAAATGGCCGCCGCTCGCCGGCGTCGCGTGGACCTCATCGGGACACATCACACATCCTTTTGGCTTCCTTAACATGTTTCTTTAATAACAATTACCAGTGGTGAGTTAACAGAGATTGTTAATCAGTTAAATACTCTGAATTAGATCCCTTTTCGTGCCGATGTCTTTTCCAGGTGTAGTCCTGCTTCAAAATCAAAATGGCGGACTTCTTCCAGGACTCTTATACCCTTGGTATGTATTCCATTTAGTTAAATGGGTATTATTATAATTACTCAATGCTTTTTCCTGGTAGCTGTTGCGATCTCGTCGAAAAGTGCGTTTTTATAACGAGTATACTCGTAAAAAACAGCCAATTGGTTCATAGATACGGCATTGGGTTTTTCATCGGAACCAAAATGGCCGCCGAGTGAATTTCTTCACGCGACGCTTTTCTCTCTTCCCCTGAATGGATCTCGACAAATGGCGGCGGGGGCGAGGGGGGACGCCAGGATGTAGCATCTTATTTGTCCAGGAGGACCAAGGTGTCGAGCACTTTACGATTTCCGACTACTTTTCCTGCCCGACCCCTCCACTTGGCCGCGGAATACAGAAATATACAGGGCGCGCTCTTCTGCCGCGCTCGGTGAGAGAGAGAGGGTCGCATCGCCGACGCCATGGGAGCGAGAGAGAGGAGACGTCTCGAGCCCCTTCTATCCCTTCCCGGACGCGCTAAGTTCCTCTTTAAAGTGGACGAGTATATTTAGATCGCTGCGCTCCTGATCGTCACGGTTCATCGAGGATCATCCGCGCTTTGCCGGAGCGGAATCCGGTGCGGCCGAGACGCGTCGCGACGCCTTTTCCGGGTCTCCAGGGGCGGATTTTATCCAAGAGAGAAGCCCTGATTACTCGTCAGGATTCTTCAGGGCAAATGTCTTAACTTAAACTAACCTCCCGAGTCATTTTTTAGGTTAAGTTACCCGAGATATTTTTTTCTTCTGCAACAAATTTTATTTAGAGGTAATTGCATGTTTAGATACAACTTCCTGGAAGGTGGTACGTGAAGTGATTGACTATGCCGGAGAGACTATCACCAAAGCGAGTCTTATTAATCTGTTAATTAATATCTGGTTTGTATGGGTGGTAAAGTGAAATCGTTGTGTCTTTACGAATTTGGTAATATCTGGAATCTTTATCAATGTAGAATCCCAAAGTTACGGAACAGCCGAAAAAATGGAGAAGGAAACGGGAAAACGGGAAGCAATCCCAGTCGCAATTCGACCCTTAGTCTGTGCCTCAATGCCGAACATAACCTCTCTGCGGGAACCACCCTGTATACACCGCTCCATAACGCCGTTTTTTCCCCCCGGCCATCGCGAGTATCGCATAAAACATGCAGGATCCCATTAAAAAAGTTGCGACGATCCCCCAATTAAGTCCCGGGGAAAATAAAATGAAAAAAAAAAAAAGGAGAAGAAAAAACAAATCAACGAATCGGCGCCGCCGCGACGACCCCGGCCTCCGCCATTCAGGGACTTTCGTAACAGGTACGCGTTTTTTCCTCGCTGCGTTTTCCGCCCCGGGGTTTTTGCTGAAAGCGGAAATATAAATAACCTCTCTGGAGGGGAGAGGATCCTCCAATGGCGTCCGTTTCGCGGCCGCGAGAGGGCGCGATCGTCGTTCTCGCGATCAAAGGCTTTACCGCTCGACCTAACCTCTCTTGGCCACGCGTGTTCGCAGTTAGGACGAGCTTTATGTAACGCGACACGCGGATAATTATCGTCCGATGGCGAAGATGCCGCGAAGGGTCCGCCCGACCATTCTTTTTCTCCCACTTTTATCCGCCATTTTCTCTTTTTCCTACTTTCTCGCCAAACGGGGAATCGTTATTTATAGGCATGAATTTCAAGCGACGCCGAGGGTTACCTTGTTGACACTTTTTTTAAACGAGACTTCGTACGTCAGCAGATTAATAATTCTAAGTTAAAAATAAGAGTAGGGAAAAGTTGAACAGTTATTTATATTAATCAGTATAAATTCTGATGTCTCGAAATTAACCTCAAAACCGCTGAAAGGGTGGCGGCGCCGCGTTTTTACCGAGCGGTTTAAGGGGCTTTAGGTGGTTTACATGAACGATCTGTATAAACCTATACCTATAATTGGAATAATTCCTTAAAGAGGGAGGCGGAATAATCCGAATCCTGAAATTTGGCCGAAAAGTCCTGAAATCGACCTCCCGGGTCCCGAAAGGACGTCCTCGCGCGGCGCCGCTCCCCGGGAAACGGGGGAATAGGGATTCCATTATTTAACCGAGGTAGTTTAGGCGAGTATTAGGGGTTTGAGTTTATGACACCCCTCGGCTGCGCGGATTGCCTATTAATACGATATGAGGGCGCCGGGGCGCCTCCACCGCGCGGTTTTTCGCGCCACGGTGCCGAGAGAGTCGGCCCGGTTCCTTCCCTCCTTTCCCCCCTCGCGTTTTCCTCCTCCTCCCCTCTCCCTCTTCCCCTCACCGCCTCCTTTTTTTAACAACCTCCCGGGAGTTCGCGAATTAAATCCCGGCCTCTCGTTCCGCCCCCTTCGTCCTAGCCCCGGAACTTAATTCCTCTCACGAGTTGTCCGACATTTCGACGTGTGGATTTTCCCCGAGAGTTCTGAGATTATGCGCCAGTCGTCGCTAAAAAATGTTATTTACTGTTATTATCGGTGTAAACGTCGTTAAAAATGAAAATTCCCACGCTACGAAGCCGGTCGTCATTTTATCTCTACGTCTTATTTAGTTTGTGGTTTGAGGTTAGGACGCCGCAGCGAGGCTGAGTGGACGGAAGGGTTTTTTCTTTTATTTGCTGTCAGTAAGAATTGTAACAACTTACAAGAATTACTACTATTTTTCTTTTCGGGAATTTCGAGGTTAGGTTTATTCAGGGGATTTATCGTAACCCATGTTGTACAGATTGGCAGTTATATATGCGAGGTCTAGGTTAGATGCTTGTTACGGCAAATTAGACCTCCCCGAGCGAGCGAATCGTTTGTCGTTTATGCCGGGAGGATTTCTAAACGAGGAGGGATCGCAGGAATTAAGCGCTCGGGATTGCTGCAACGCGCGTTCCGTATATACCGAGCAGCAGCTTGGCGTCTCGTGCCGACTTAATTCTCCTCTCCTGCACGAGTGAGCGCGATGAGCTGCTATCGTTTCTTAATTTGCCGAGCAAACACCTGCTGCCGCGGAAACCGCGCCTCGTGGCGCCCTCTGAGAACTCCGATATTAATCCTCGCGTGTGTTGCGAAGCGTGTGCACGGGACCTGAAGATTCGCCACGAGAAACTTCGAACATTGCCAACTCACGTGAGTGATCGTTCTTCACCTCGTCAGATTATGAAACGATGATCTTTCACGAATCTCTTCATTTCACTTTTGAGGTTAGGACGGGACTATCAGCGGGTCCACCTGAAAAGTGAACGGAGAGTTGGAATGAAAGTTCAAACGCGTAAACTCACCTGGGATATTTGCTAAACTCGGTAGAACGCGAAATGATATTTTTCTCCGGTAATTTTGGCTCGCAGTTTCGAGGTTAGAATCGCGGAAATCTGCAAGGGGGGGGGCGGGGGAACGAGGGGCCCCCAAGACTGCCGTCAATGGAGCGTCAATGGCGCACGCGTGGGTATTAAATTAACGTAGTCGACTCGGTGGCCGGCGATTAAACAAAGGGTGAAAATTGAGCCCCCTCCGCAGCTCGGAGCGTCGAAACGCCCGGCCATACCGATCCCCGTAGCGCCCCTACGTATACACCCGTCTACATAAATCTGCGTACACGTACCCGTGTAAACGTGTTTAAACATACATCCAAACACGTATATAAAGCCCCGTAATAATGTGCGAGCGGAGTTAAGTACGTTTACGCACCTACCGGGCATCTAAACGAGGGGGTCTTTCCCACGCATACATATCCACAAATATATACACATACTATGATATATTTCATCCCGTATAAACGCATCTAATTTCTCATTTAAGTATATCTTCATTTATAAATACATGTACGCACGTGTATTTATAATTTGATCGTAAAACAGTCGTTATATACGCGTATAATTTTCATGCAATGGTGATGGTAAGCGTATTCCTCGGTGTAAACGGAGTTAAGTGCGTTAACACAGCTAACGACGCTCGTTAACGCATGGGGGCGGGGTCGTGCGCATGCGCGCGCGCCAGCTCGGCCGCTCGCTCGCTTTACAGGGGTGTACCTATGTACACATCGGGGGCCGAGGGGCAGCGGGGCGGCCCGGGTGGCTGGATGGCTGGTTCGTTCGCTGAATGCGGTTTAATATTAATGGGAACTGATGATAAGCAGCGCAAACAAGCGTCGAGTCTCCCGGGAGAGATCTGCCTTCTGTTCGCCCCCCGCGCGCCGAGTACTGGGGCGATACACGCAGCCACCGTCACGGGGCGCCACCGTCGAGGGCCGCCCACAGGTGGGGAACACCCTGGAAACCCTCGAAACGATGCTTTTCCGGGGAAGTCTGCATTTTGAAAAATCTAAGCCTTGGAAATTCAGGATAAATGTGTAATACAAAATATGGAACGTATTTATTATACATTTCATATAATTCATAATAATAATTTCATATAAATATAATCATATTTCATATAAATATGGAATGGAATTAAAGGTTTTTAGAATGCTTAGTGAGGTTAACATTGTAACGGTTTCTAGCGTAGGCCTAGATTAAAAAATGTAGAACGTGTTTTGAGGTTAGAGTCGCAACGGTATGTGGGTCGGTTTCTTGAAGTCTTGTGTTCTTTGTACTTGGGGACGGTGGGTGAATCTTAGAGATAACGTTTTCGACGGGTTTAACCAGGATTTTCTTTTCGGAAAAAAATGCCACTCGACGGTTCTTCCGGTACGGTTCACACGGACGACACACGGGCCCGCCCGTAACCTAATAGCGCCGACACAGGGGCGAGGTTCCGCCCCTACCCACCAGGGAGCGCACACAGCGCCGCGGCTCCCGCGAGCGGTGTGTTTGCTCGCCAAATTAGAAAACGATCGAGGCTCGCCGCGATCGCTCGTGCGGCGCGCCTCTAGAGGGAATTAAGTCGGCACGAAACTGCGAGGGGCGAGCTCGGGGGTTGTGCATAGAAAGAGGAGCCATTTTCGAAACCGCCCGGAGAAAAAGACCCGAAAAATGTTGTTACCTCCAAAAATGTCCGATTCTTCAAAATGAACTTTCCAAACAGTTCAGTCCTCGTTCTTT